CTAGAAGAACCAGAAAACATAATTGTATCATCATCAAAATCATTGTCACCATCATTATCATCGTCATCATCATCATCATTGTCATCGTCATCATCATAAGCATCAGCATCATTACCATCATCATCATCATCATCATCATCATCATCATCATTGCCCTATTGTGCCTCTCTCTCTCTCTCTCTCTCTCTCTCTCTCTCTCTCTCTCATACACATCTACTTTCGTTTTAGAGATATCTTTATCATCCTCAATCCATTAATTTTCTATTTGGGTCTTCTCTTTTGCAAATCCATTTTATGTGGCGCACATAACCTAGTCACAATTATAACCAAAAGCTTCCCATTCGGGGATGCTGTCCAGCATGAGGAATTTTAATATATATATATGTCTGCGTGGATTTGTATCATGGTACGGGGTTTCGAAGGTACACCGAGCTTGAAATGGGTACCAGGATGGCTGTCCTGGGGAAGTAAAAACGGCCTGCGTAATGCTGAACACATTACCCAGTTAGTGCCGACGGTCTGTAAAAATATTGGCTGCTCTTCCCATATACCCGATACGCTTAAAATTTGATTTTTACTTTTCTGAAATTTATGTATGAATGTAAATATATATTTAATGTGGCAGATGAAGCCAAGCCAAAAGCCATAAACAGCACCCCAAAGCTCAGGTACTGTAGCGATGTTAAGCCATACGGTTTCCTGAGAAAAGAGGTGACGAACGTTGTAGTTTCCGGACAATGATGCCGAGGCCGACTTCAACGGAAGTGGATACAAGATATTGAAGATGAATTGCACAGGGCTGGGGAATTGACTAGAGAAAGGACTTTCAGGCGTGCAGTGAAGAGAGCGACGTTCTGTAAAGGAGCTGATGATTGGTAATGGATACTAAATAATGTGAGACTTAAAACTGCAGCAGAGTTAAGGACTCTTGGCAGGAACAACCTAAGCATTTGTCTCTGTTCGTGATTTTACCACTCGATTTTACCCAGTTAGTTTTGCCATACCCTGCTCAACGGTCGGCTCCCGACGCAATTATCAAGACCAATGCAAAGCGGTCTACTGGCAGATCGCCCGCATTTGGATTCAAAGCGAGTATCTCGGGATCACAAACTACTTTCGCAATGGCTAAACCACTTCCTTATGTAGTCCTTTCTGCTTGGCGTTAGTTAGTCATGTCTATCCTCAACCTTCTGTCTTATGTACTTTCAACCAGTTGTGACCCAAATGATCTTTCATACACTATGGCGCTGGTAGTCATGTCTATCCACAGACTTGCTTGTGTACTTTCAGTCAGTTTTGACACATACGATCTTTCATGCCATTATATCAAACTGTTTAGAATCTTCTTTTTCCATCTTGACGTTTTTCACCTGCAACTTTTCCATGTCACAATATACTCCGGTTTTCTTTTCTTTTATTTAATTTCAACTTATCACGGGGACTCCAAGATTTCTTAGGGATTCTAGAGAAATTACAATAGTATAGTGGTGTTAGGGTGTGCAATAAACACCGACGAAAATTAACCCTAACATCACTGGTAATAATGGACTTTCCCCGAAACTCCCTACGAAATCTCGGAGCCCCGAGATGGGGTAAAGGAAATGAAAAGAATCCAGTTTTCTTTTTCTGGCGAAATGATCAAAGAATGTAAATTGTTTCCTTTTGATATTTCAATCAGTTCCCTTTCTGAGTCAGCGTTCCATGCCATAGACGCTAACAGCGTTCCATGCCATAGACGCTAACAGTGTTCCATGCCACAGACACTAGCAATGTTCCATGCCATAGACACTAACAATGTTCCATGCCACAGACACTAACAATGTTCCATGCCATAGACACTAACAATGTTCCATGCCACAGACACTAACAATGTTCCATGCCATAGACACTAACAATGTTCCATGCCACAGACACTAACAATGTTCCATGCCATAGACACTAACAATGTTCCATGCCACAGACACTAACAATGTTCCATGCCATAGACACTAACAATGTTCCATGCCACAGACACTAACAATGTTCCATGCCATAGACACTAACAATGTTCCATGCCACAGGCACTAACAATGTTCCATGCCATAGACACTAACAATGTTCCATGCCACAGACACTAACAATGTTCCATGCCATAGACACTAACAATGTTCCATGCCACAGACACTAACAATGTTCCATGCCATAGACACTAACAATGTTCCATGCCACAGGCACTAACAATGTTCCATGCCATAGACACTAACAATGTTCCATGCCATAGACACTAACAATGTTCCATGCCATAGACACTAACAATGTTCCATGCCACAGACACTAACAATGTTCCATGCCACAGACACTAACAATGTTCCATGCCACAGGCACTAACAATGTTCCATGCCATAGACACTAACAATGTTCCATGCCACAGACACTAACAATGTTTCATGCCATAGACACTAACAGTGTTCCATGCCACAGACACTAACAATGTTCCATGCCATAGACGCTAACAATGTTC